CAGGTGCTGGTGCAGGAGGAGGCGGCGGACGGGCGCCGGGGACCCGAGGCGGCCCGCAAGCTGCGCGCCCGCTGGGCGGAGGCGGTGGCGCGTGCGGCCCGGGAGCGCCTGGAGGCGGCGGCGCCAGGGGCGCCCGGGGGCCTGGCCGAGCAGCTGCAGGCGCTGCGGCGGCGGCTGCTGGAGGATATGGGCGTGGTGCGGGGCCGCCTGGCGCCCTCCTACCCCGCCGGCCTGGGCGCCTTTGGCGTCTACCTGCGCGGCTACCATGGCGCGCTGGCCGACTGGATCGGGGCCGCCGCCCGCCGGAGGCTGCCGCTGGCCGACCGCTACGCGCTGCTGCACTGGCACAACCAGGTGTACCCCAGGTGAGCGGGGGCCTAGGGATCGGCTGCCCCAAGGTCGCGTAGAAGCCTCGCTTCCCCCCACTCCCTCCAGCCCCGGCCCCTTCAGAACCTAAGGACCCTCCTGGGCCTTCATTCCTAGAGCCTTAATATCGTTGACCCTTCCAGGCTCAGCACTGGTGACATTTACAACCTGAGAATCTTAGCGCTCTCCACGCTTCCCGCGCTAGAACCTCAGCAACAGGGATCCTTCTGATCCTAGAACCTTAGTAACCACTCGCCATCCTTCCGGTCTTAGAATCTTAGCACTGCCCACCCTTCCAGTCCTAGAAACTTAACACCAATGACCCTTCTCATCCTAAAATCTTGGCACTGTTGACCCTTGGAATTCTAGAACCCTTACACTGCTTTCGCCTTAGACCCTAGGGCACAAGCGCCGATGACTCTTCCAATCTTAGAACTTTAGAACTGATGACAATTTCAACCCTAGAACGTTAGTGCCAACGAGCCTTCGAATCCTAAATCTTAGCTTCATCCCCCCCTTTGGATCCTAGAACTCTGACACTTGTTGGTCCTTCCAGTTTTAGGATGGTAGTACTTTTGGTCCCTTGGACTCTATAATCTTAGCATCTAGAACCTAAGTACCATTGACCCTCCCAGTCCTAGAATCCTATAACCATCGAGGCTTTGGATCTTAAAACATTTCCGTTCTTGTGACTGGGGGATGGAGTACGGTGATCAGCTATGACTGGGTCCCTACAGGCTCCAGGGAAAAGGGAGTTAGCCACACCCAAACCACATATTGGAGGGTGAGGGAGTGGGTGGTCCCTCTTCGAAATCAAGATGCTGTCACCAGAAGAATGGGAAGGCAACAGTTACCAACACTGACCTGTCGAGATCCCATTTGGGAATATATGTTCATGACACTCACATGCCATCCATGAGAGATGGAGGCGGAATAGAGAGCCTGGAATGGTGAGACATGAGTTAAGTCTGATTTGCAGGGAGATGGGGCTTCTGGCTGAGAGGATGCCATGAGCAAAGGCCTGGTGTGTGCAGGGGTGGTGGGGAGGTGTGGGGAGAGCAGTGGCACGGCACAGGCCGGGGCATGCAAGAGGGTAGAGGCTGGGAGTGAGGGCTGGAGTGGCGAGGCCTCCAAGGCTAGGTGACGACATAGGGACTAGCGGCGGAGGTGGAAGGGAGCTTCTGTCTGGTGAAGCTCTGGCGGGTGAGACCTTGTGTGCCAGGTCACAGAGCCTGGACTTGACCCCTAGGAGTCTTGCCCGGACACCATCCATCAGGGAGCTGACTCAGGGAACTGGAGCCAGGGGAGCAACAATTCCAGAGACTTCCTCTGAGGGATGAGCGAAGCTGGCCCCGAGAGAGGAAGGGAGAGGCCCAGGTCACAAACACACAGGCTGTGAAGGGATGGAGGTGGGGAGGGGTTCAGCTCCCCAGCCCCACCTCTCACAGACCCCCCCCCCGGTTCTTACCCCCCCCCCCAGAGCGGGCCTGGGCCTTGTGGGCCGGGGCCGCGCCCCACCTCTCACAGCCCCCCCCCCCGTTTCTTACCCCCACCCCCAGAGAGGTCCTAGGTCTGGTGGACATGGTCGCCCTGGAAAATGGGGAGCTGGAGCCCCTTCTGTCCCCTGGCACCCTTCGTGGCTTGGAGGATGAATGTGTCACAGACGTTAAGGTACCTGGAACTTGGCTTTGCTGATTAGGGAGCCGGAGGCGCTCTGCAGAGGGAGGAGGGGTCACACCGAGCTTGGGGGCCTCTCTCCGCCCCCTTTCCCTATCTCCATCTCCCCTTGCCCTTTGTGGACTTCCGAGTTCCGTCCAAAAGACGTAGAAATGTAAGCCCATACTGATCACTTCTGTCTTATGTTCAGTGTATCCAAAGCACTCGGCCAGTTGTGGAGATACTCAGTAAAGGTTCAATACATTCAGACACTTCAAATCTTACAGCAAGAGAGAGTCAGTCACAGAACCTCAGCTCGCAGACTCAAAGACTCACAGAAGGAGGGCATCAAAGCATCTCTGCATATAAGCGGGGCTGATAGCAAACACGGTTAATAACTGGCCTGGCACAGGCACTGCTGAGCAGAATGGCCCAAGCTGTAAACAGCCATCCCAGCCACAGGAGTGTTTCTGGTCTAAAAGCCAGTCCTGCCCCAGCCACAGAAATCAGTATCTTTGCAATTTGAGAGCTTTCAATCTCAGGACCAAACAAGTCTACATTCTCAGACTCACTGAATTGAAGACAACATAGGACCAGAGAATCAAGAGATGTGTAAACCTTAGACTCCTAGACACTTGGAATTCTTGAATCACAGAATTTGGAAATCGTGAAAGAATTGTCTTGCAGACCTGACAGCAGAGTCTTAGAATCATCAGATAATGAGACAATAAGCCCTTAAACCCTCTGGCTATTAGATGGAGGAGGCTTAAAACCACAGACTCAATATCAAGTGCCAAATTGTAGACTTAGGAATGGAAGGGGCTGGGGAAGTTTTCTGGTCCAGGCGCTCTCCCCAGCATTACATTAGGAGCTCACAGGTAGAATCCAGAGCTGCGGGGCG